TGTTATACCACTGTATTAAAATTATTAATAATGCCCAACCTTAATAAAAATAAATAATTTCAGATTTTAAAGATTTCATGAATCTGGAGAAATCTCTGTGCTAAAATAACCAGGTCAAAAGTCAATGATGCTGGTGATCTTTGGACACTCAACTTATTTAAAATTATGTCTAACTTTGTTATGGACATCACTACACAGACTCAGGAACACTTCCATGAATCCCCGTCTGTAAACAGTTTGCTGGTCAATCCACAAATGCTGTTAAAGCTCTATTATGCAAAGAAGCCATAAGTGAACACCAGCCAGAAGCACCACCTCATTTGAACCAAAGCCAAATTGGCTGATGCACAGTAAACTGCTCTGTGGTCAGACACATGGAAAATTAACTATCTTTTTGAAAAACATGAATACCACAACCTCCAAACTAAAAAGGAGAGGGACCATCCAGCCTGTTTACACTTAAAGTGTGCCTCTCTGACAGTATGAGTGGGCCAATTACACACCTGGAAAGGAACTATCACTGCTGAACTTTACATTTGCTTCCCTCCAGACATCTTTTTCAAMGAAGCCTGACACATTTCAACAAGACTATGCTACACCACAAACTGCATCCATTATAACAGCATGGCTTTGTGGTGGAAGTCCTGAATTACCTGCAGGTCAAACCACCAGCCAACAAAAGCATCTGGTGCAGCATGAAGACCCTGGACTGTTAATGAGAATCCTACATCAGACATGAATGGGACAACATTTATCTACAAAACTCCAGGAGCTGGTCGTCTCAGTTGCTGGACTTTTCAGGCAGTTACAAAAATGAGATGCTTACAGAGAGGAAACATGGCCTAGTCCCAACTTTTTTTTAAATGTGTGGCTGCTAGAGTTAGGTAAAATCAAATCGTTATTTTTCAGCACTTGACGATTAATATGATTAARGTCACCAAGCAGAATGARTGGAGATTCCTCTGAGCAGTCSGCTCGATGCTCCTCTCTGCTTCAAGTAGGACTAACATTTAAAAAACATTCTGTAATTTATTGATCATAACTCTGGTTTTACTTGGCCTATCAAACCAATTTAAAAAATGGTGATTGGCCTGAAGTCTGTCCTTTTTACACAATTTGGAACAGATTTTTACAGAGAGCAAATTTTTCCCACAAGAGTGATTTAAATTTGTCATGTGACTAGGTCATGCAGGGGTCCAGGGACTCCAGGGGATTAATCGTCATATTAATCTTCATCGACTAAATACCACAATTAATCAGGATTCTTTTTTTTCCAATATTGCCCAAACCTTGTGGCTGCCATCAAACTCAAAATTATCTTTAAAGTGGTACAATTTCTTAATTTAAACTTGAGCTGCTCAAATATGCAAAAAATAATATTTCAATAGAATCGTGTTTCAGGAAAAAATTACGACAATGGTGTTGGGTATATTTCTTAGCAGAATATTTGGTTCTACACATACAGCCATAATAAAAACGAGTATTTAAATCAAGTTTTGCTTTAGCTGTGTTGATGATGACAGGTTGAACTGATAACGTTTCCTCTTCCCAGTTGATCTGATGGAACTGGAAACAGTGCACCCCTCATTCTTCATGAGAAGATATGAAATGTTCTATCATTTACAGATTTTTGACAATGATTGTTCTGTTTTGAACTTTGTTCTAATCTTAGAAGCAGCAGATTTCTGTCTGTCTTCCCTCCACTCCCCCTTCCTCCAGTTGTCTCACAAACAGAGCAGCAACGTTTACTTTTCACACAACGGCCCAACATTATTGGAACTGGGAAGGTAGTTTAGTCTTGCATGTTAAAGGTGCAGTAGAAAGTTATGAGAAAACGGTGGACTTAGCTTGAAAATTTGAACAAGCTAACTTTACAGGTCTCTCCCCCTTGCTCTCTGCAGCCCCCCTACCCTCCCCC